TGACCCCGGGTACGTATTTTGGTTCCGGAGCCCAGTACATGTCCACTATAATATTTATGACTTGTCTGCCGAATTTGGTGAGAATTGGAGTTGATTTGACGTGATTCGGACATCCGGTTGAAAAAATATAAGTTTTAAAGTTTTCTTACAAATTTTCTTTGATTTGGTGTCCGATTCGTAGTTCTAGGTGTTAGTTTGGCGATTTGATCACGCAATCAAGTTTGTATCATGTTTTAGGACTTGAGTGCATGTTTGGTTTGGAGCCTCGAGGGCTCGGGTGAGTTTCAGATGAGCTATGAGATGATTTCGGACTTAGAAAATCTGGTTTTCTGCAGACTTAAGGCTTCTGGTGTGTTCTTCTTCGCGTTCGCGAAGGTACTCTCGTGAACGCGAAGATAAAATTGGGGCTCGCACATTTTATGCTTCGCGTTCGCGACAGAGTGAACGTGTTCGCGAAGGCTTGAGGTGCAAAGCTTCGCGTTCGCGATCGAAGCCTTGCGTTTGAGAAGGAAAAGAGGCTAACCAGGAAATTGCCTTCGCGTTCGCGAAGGCCAAGCTAGGTACTGACCGAGTAAAATTGGGCAGCACAAATTTTGTGCTTCGCGAACGCGAGACACTGACCGAGATTTGAGACGTGGGTCCCACTGTCGAATATTTAAATGAATTTCGGATTTTTATCCGAAAAATTAGTAAATTCATATAGAATTAATTCCTATGATTCATATTGAGTATATCGAATTGTTTGTGAATAGATTTGAAGCTTTTGGAGACAAATTTAAAAGGAAAAGCTATGGTCGAGTAATTGATTGGAATTTGTAAAGCGAGGTAAGTGTCATGGTTAACCTTGACTTGAGGGAATAGAATCCTTAAATTATTTGTTATGTGAAATGCATGTGCGAGGTGACGAGTGTCTATACGTCATCAAATTAATTGTTTGCATAATTATTTTGAAAATCCTAAATTATTTTAATACACAATTAATTGTTATAATAATTGTTTCTCTCGTATTCTTTGTCAAATATTAATTCTTGAATTTCTGCATTAATTGTTACATGCTATTTGAATTATGTGTCTTAATTGTTATTTGACATTTAGCATATTAAACACTAAGCTGCCTATTTTTTCCCTGATTTCCATAATAATTTGCTATTTGTCATTGTTTGTTTCATAATTAAATCATAATTATTGTATGCTTGTTGTCTTATAATTTTATATTAATTATTGCATTTACTGGGAAAATTTCTTCTATAAGAATTGGTAAATGGATATATTGGAGGATCGGGTTGCACGCTGCAACAGAATTGATTGAAATGGATATATTGGAGGATCTGGTTGCACGTCGCAACAGACTTATTAAAAAGTCTATATTGAAGGATCGGGTTGCATGCCGTAATAGACTTATTAAAAGTCAATATTTGGGGGATCGGATTGCACGCCGCAATAGACTTATTTAAAAGTTAATATATATACTTGATTAAAAATAATTATATGAGAGGATTGAAATGAATATATTGTGAGAACGGGTTGTACGCTGCAACAGAATTGAATGTGAATATATTGTGAGAGAGGGTTGCACGCTACAATAGAATTGAATGTGAATATATTGTGAGAGCGGGTTGCACACTACAACAGAATTGATGGAAATAATAATTGGTTATGACTGCTGAATTGGCTTCAATTATTATAAATGAGTTACCTGATTTATTTCTATTATTGTTGTTGTTACTAATATTGCGTACAGGTAATGTAAGTGACTCGCCTTAGCCTCGTCACTACTTTGTCGAGGTTAGGCTCAACACTTACCAATACATGGGGTCGGTTGTACTGATACTACACTCAGCACTTCTTGTGCAGAATTTGGAGTTGGTCCCAGCGGCGTACCATACACTTGCTCGGATTTCAGCTACTCAGAGGAGACTTGAGGTATAACTGCATGACGTCTGCAGTTCTGAAGTCCCCGTCTACTTTACTTTAGTTGTGTGTTTATTTCCAGACAGCTTTATTTTTATTCAGACCTTTATTTGTATTATTCTAGAAGCTCGTGCACTTATGACACCAATTATGGGATAGTATTTAGACACCGTTATTTTTATGGATTATTCACTACATTTCAAACTTTACTTCCGTATTTGTTCTTTGTTATTAATAAATTTAAAAATTATTTTAAAAAATAAATAATATTATTCTAACGTTGGCTTGCCTAGCAAGTGAAATGTTAATTTGCGCCATTACGGTCCGAAGGTGGGAATTTCGGGTCATGACAGTAAAAATTGTACCGACTGTGCACGCAAGCCGAGTAATGATAATTAATGCTTTTCGAGGTCTTAGAACATAAAATTACTTATTAAATTTAAAGATGACATTTTGGGTCATCACAATATCTTTGATCTGTGACCATATCATCAATTAATAAATAAGATTGATGTGAACGAGAGTGAATTATTCGGTAATAATAACTTTTACCTTAATATTCTAATTATTAACTTTAATGCTATTTATTTTAACATCTTCTTTTTCTTTAGATGTGATCAGAGAAATCGTCGGTTTTAGTGAGGTACATACGCACAAACAAGGTAGAATTTCTAGGAAGTTTATGGATATCTAACTAGAAGATGATGAGTAAGAATAAACAGTCATCCACTGATTAACGATAGATTTGATAATTACATATGCTAAAAATTATATACTATTTCTATTTGGAAGGAGAAACAAGTTATCTGCTACATTCTGGGGCGAATTTGTTGATCAAGTTGTACCTCACATGCTAAGTTCTAACAACCAGCCTATTGTTGTTGTTATGCAGCTCATAAAAGCCCATAAATATCAAGGTAAAATGTAATTATTCAATTTGACATTACTTTGTGAAAGTTATTCATTACATCTTACACGTACTTTATTTTTGTCACGATCCAAAATCCAACTAGTCGTGATGGCACCTAACCTAACCTGCTAGGTAACCCAACTTTTAACTATCCAATTCCAATAACAATTATTAAAGCAATTTAAGTAAATAAAGATCTTAATTTTATACATTCCCCCAAGAACTGGTAGTACAGATCATGAGTTTCTAAGAATAGAATTTACAAAGCTGATATGAAGTAAATACATCTTCTGTTTGAAAAGTACATAAACAGAGTTTTTATAATCTAAGGCTACCATGAACAAGAGGCAGCTACCATAAGAACACAGGTACATCTTCAAATCCGGCAACCATCGAGTACGGCAACAACAACAGCCAACATCTGCACGCAATGTGCAGAAGTATAGTATCAGTACAACTGACCCCATGTACTGAGTAAGTAACAAATCTAATCTTAGGTTGAAAGCAATGACGAGCTTTTACCAAGGTCGGGTCCAAAAACCAATAGTCCACAACAGTCCATAACCACGTAAAGCAAATAAAACAAGAAGTAACTCAGAGATAAAATGCTCAACTAAATCATGATTTCAAAAATAATAATCCTTCCTTTCAAGTACATCAGTGAAAACCCAAATCGTTTACCGAAGTTGCCAGAAATATGAATAAGTTTAAAAACAATAATTTTCCCAAAATTCTTTCAATAATAAATGAGATGTTTCATTTTCTTTCCAGATAACCTGTGTAAAAACAAATGCATCACTATGCCCATCTGTCAACATGTGTGAGAAATCATGAATGATGCTATACTATACAGCATGAGGAAAATATATCTCTATATGTATGTCATGTGTGCATCTCAATGCGATGCAACTCAGTGATAAAATCATATGCATACTCTCAGAGTATCATTTCACTCAGTCCTCCCGGTCACTCAGTCCTCACAGTCACTCAATCCTCCCAATCACTCAGTCCTCCCAATCGCTCGGCACTCGCACTCGGCACTCGCACTCAGTAGGTACCTGCGCTCACTGGGGATGTGTACAGACTCCGGAGGGGCTCCTTCAGCCCAAGCACTATAATCTGTACGGACAACTCATGTGCTGCACAGACAACTCATGTGCTATAATAATATATGGATCCGCACGGACAACTCACGAGCTATAATAAAGCCAATCTGGCCTGCTGCAGCGTGCAACCCGATCCCATAATTATCCTCACAATCAAGCTTTCGGCCTCACTCAGTCATCAATCTCTCCAGTCTCTCGGGCTCACAATGTCATGAAAAATCAGCCCAAAATGATGATATAATGTATCAATAAATAGCAACAGAGACTGAGAGATGATATGAAATGGATGGATATGAATATGACTGAGTATGAATTTTCACTTTAAAATAAATAATTCACATCAATATGACCTCTGTGGGTCCCAATAATACTAGCACATAGCCTCAACATGATTTTTAATATGATTATCAGTTCAATTTATTTAGCACATAAAACTGCATGGAAAATACCAAGATTATTTGACTACAAAATTTCACGAAATAATTACGTCACAATTTCTATGGTGCACACACACACGCTCATCACCTAGCATGTGCGTCACCTCCCAATAATTTACAAAATCCATATATTCAGGGTTCATACCCTCAGCTCCAAGATTAGAAGAGTTACTTAACTCGAACAAGCTAAATCCAATGTCGAGCAAGCTAAACAATGCTCCAGAAATTCCACTCTGCGCGTAACAACTTCCGAATGGCTCGAATCTAGTCACAATTAATTTTATTCAGTCCACAAAAATTATAGAAATTTATTCCATATGAAAATACTAATATTTTCAACAAAATTCCAAAATTACACCCCAAAAATACCCGTGGGGTCCACATCTTGAAATTCGATGAAACTCACAAAATCCGACAACCCATCCAATTACAAGTTAAACCATACTAATTTCACTCAATTCCGACTCCAAATCGATGTTCAAATCTCAAATATTCATATTATGAACTTTAAGCCAATACCCCTATTTTCCTCTTTAAATTCATCACTCAATTGCTAAAAATGAAGATAGATTCATGGAATATAATCACAAGGGAGTCAAGAACACTTACCCTAATTTGTGTGAAAAATTTCCTCACCAAAATCGCTCAACCCGAGCTCCAAAATCCGAAAATGGATAAAAATCACGAAACCTCGAATTTAAGCTTCTGTCCCAGCGATTTCTGCATCTGCGGACAAGGGGTCGTACCTGCGACCCTCGCTTCTGCGGACAAAAATGTGCGCCTGTGAAAACAGCCGGCCTTCTCAAATTTCGCATCTGCGGCGCCATTCTAGCATCTGCGGGCTAGCAGATGCGCATACCCTTCTCACATGCGGCCTCGCAGATGCGGCAATTTCTTCGCACCTGCGAGCAGTGCCCAGTTCCACTCTTGGCCACTTCTGCGGCTGATTTTGACATGCGGCTTCGCACCTGCGATCAAAAGCTTCGCAGGTGCGATCACACGAGTAGGCAGCAGTTCCAGCATTTCCTTAAGTCCGAATTTGATCCGTTAACCATACGAAACTCAACCGAGGCCCCCGAGACCTCAACCAAATATACCAACAAGTCCCATAACATAATACGGACCTACTCGAGGCCTCAAATCACATCAAACAACATCAAAACGATGAATTACACTTCAATTCAAAAATTATTGAACTTTGAAACTTCAAATTCTACATCTTGTGCCGAAACACATCAAATCACGTTCGATTGACCTCAAATTGTTTGCACACAAGTCACATTTCACATTACAGACCTATTCCAATTTTCAGAATCGAATTTCGACCCCGATATCAAAAAGTCAACTCCCCGGTCAAACTTTCCAAAAATTCAACTTTCGGCATTTCAAGCCTAATTCTGCTACGTACCTCTAAATAATTTTCCGGACACGCTTCTAAGTCCAAAATCACCATACGGAGCTATTGGAATCATCAAAACTCCATTTCGGGGTCGTTTACACATAAGTCGACATCCGGTCACTAATTTAACTTAAGCTTTAAACCTTGGAATTAAGTGTTTCAATTTATTCCAAAAGCTCACCAGACCCGAACCAATCACCCCAGCAATTCACACAACAACTGTAAAGTACAATTTGAGCAATAAATGGAGAAACATGGTTGTAATACTCAAAACGATCGGCCAGATCTTTATAGTTTTGCAGATTCATATTATGTGCGCAATACTTGGAATGCATCAAAGTTTTGGATTAATCCTAATTTTCCTCATTCTGACGAGTTTAAAACACGATTTAATATATTTTTTTCCCTGTATCTACACTCAAATCTATTTTTCCAGGTATAGTTCTAACTGTTTTACTCATTTATAAATACAGATTACTTTCTGTTCGGGATAGTTACTCTGAGAGGCTGACTCAAACCATCTCTCAACAAAGTTACTCTGTCTCGGATGAGTTAGAGAAGGGCATTGTTGAAGTTAAAACAATTGTCTAATTAGTGGAATCCATGCAAGTGAGTTAACTATTTTTATCTTCTTTCTTTGAAATTCTGAAAGACCATCTTTTCTATCTCTTTATTCTTATGTTGCAGCCTTTGGTTCTCCTATTTTATGGCATGAAAATGTGATTGAGCATTTAGAATATGATAAGTTTTTATATTATATTTACTCAATTTGCATAAATATGTAGAGTTTCACTAATGAAATTTGATATTAATATTGGATGGAGGACATGGCAGCTCTGTTTATTCACTGAAATCGTCGGGGGCTGATGCTTTTTCTTTGCTTATCGGAATTCACAAAAGGGAAATATAAGAAAAACTCCTATCATATCAATAATCTACTGCAAACTTAGCCTTTTTGTTTTTTACATAAGTTCCTCCTAAAGTTGAGCTAACTAATATTTTACTAATATAACATTATCTTTAAACACTAAATCTTATAGTCATGCAAATTGACCTATCTTTAATCTCTGTAATAAGGAAGTTGTATGTAAGATATGTTTTACCACAAATCATACTTTATATGTTCATCTCTCAGACGACATTTTGGTTACTAATGGATAACAACCGTAATATTTCTAATATAAAGTATGCCTAATTTATATCATTCATGATTTGCACATATATGCTCTCTCTCAACTTCAATATCTAAAGTTTTATCATTTTATTAAACAGGAAAGTCTCTGTTGGATTGTTGCAAGTATTGAAAATTTAGAACTTGAAAAAGGATGGTCGTATGTCAGCTGCAAAAAGTGTCAAAAGAAGGTGGATAAACTGGGAAACATTTATCAATTCCCAAACCCCAAATATAAAAATGAAGATTACTCAGCAGTGATTAGGTAAAACCAGCAGCTCTATTTCCTTAATCCATCGAAACATGCATTTATATCTCAAATCAAATGTGCATTTAGGTACAAGCTTCAGGTTAGGGTAATGGATAGTACTGGATCTGTTTCCTATTGCTCTGGGACCGCGAAGCCATGTTTCTCATAGGCAAGTCCGCAAAAGAATTGAAGGAAGGATTTCTTGAGGTATATCAACTAATTAAATTCATATTTGTTATTTGAAAAATTCTAACGCAAAATTTTATTCTAGAATACTGACGCTGTTGATAAGTATTCCTATCCAATAGAGCTGAACAATATTCTTCAAAGAAAATTGATGTTTAAGGTTATTGTCAAGAGCTTGAACATTCAATTGCAACAGGAAGTTTATAGTGTTGTTAAGCTTATGGATGGTGAGGAGACGCACTACCGGGTCAGCTGAGCAGACACCCGCATATTCTTCTAGGGCCGCAAGAGGTCGGGGCCGAGAAAGGGCACGTGCCACAGTTAGAGAACTTGTCAGAGTAGCAGTTGAGGAGCTGCCAGTAGCTCCGGTTGGGGGACAAGTACCAGAGACACCTGTTGTTACCCTCAGACTTCAGGAGACTTTAGCACAGGTCCTGAACATGTTTGGTACATTGACTACGGCAGAATTGATCTACGTTTCACTAAACATTTTTGTGCAGAGGCAGGTATTGAAGATATCAGATTCGGACAGAGGTTAGAGTGTGATCGCAAGGATTTAAGGTAGAGTTGCTTGGTCGTCACACTCCCTGGGAGTCTTTCTATTATATTGTACTGTCAACTCTTGTTCGAACAATATTGTATATTTGATCCTTGAGATCACTGCATATATTCAGTTAGAGTTCGTGACTCAGTATTACCAATCTTGGGAGGTTGTTAGAATTATTTCCGCTGTTGGTTTCGACACGTGTATTCGATTAAATTATGTTTCAAAACAAAAGGCGTGAATTGTAATTGTAATCGACTTACCTAGTCGTAGAGACTAAGTGCCATCACGACACCTGTGGTGAGATTTTGGGTCGTGACAGGTGATTTCGGACTTAGGCGTATATCCGTATTTGGATTTGGAAGTCCGTAGGACAATTCGACACATTTTGGCGAAAGTTGGAAAATAGAAGATTTTTGGAAAGTTAGACCGAAAGTTGAAATTTTTATAACAAAGTAGGATTTCGATTCTGGAAATTTGAATAGCTCCATTATGTCATTTATGACTCGCGTGCAAAATTTGAAGTCATTCCGGATTGATTTGATACGTTTTGGCGCAAAATATAAAAGTTGAAAGATTTGAAAACTAATAATTCAATTCGATGCACAATTCATAATTTCAGTGTTGTTTAACGTGGTTTAAAGCCTTGTCTAAGTTCGTATTGTATTTTGGGACATGTTGGTATATTTATTTAAAGTCCCGAGGGCCTCGGGTGGATTTCGGAAGGTTAACGAAGTTGATTTTGGACTTGAAGAGCTGCTGGAATTTCTGTTGTTTCTTGGCAACAATTGTTGGAATCGCACCTGCGGAATTAAGGGCGCAGGTGCGACCTAACAGAAGTGAGAATTTCATCGCCGAAGCGACTTTGGGTAGACTGGGCAGAGGTCGCAGGTGCGATGCATTTTCCGCACCTGTGTGACCGCAAGAGTGGAGATGAAACCGCAAAAGCGACGAGTTTCGTAGGTGCGCATTTGTCCATCGCTTCTGCGATTGCGAAGAAGCGGAAAGAAGTCCGCAGCTGCGAGGGGTTGACTAGGCCGTGCACTCCGCAAATGTGACCATTTGTCCGCAGAAGCAGAAACAGGGCAGAATGTTAAGGACCAAAAATAGTCGTTTCGACATTTTCGATTGAGATTTTGGAGCTCGGTTTTTGTGCAATTTTGGAGGAGTTTTTCAAGACTTTGACTTGGGTAAGTGTCCTATATTCAAAAGTGATTATATTTCATAAATCCATGGTTATATTCATCGTTTAATTCGGACTTAAATAGAAGAAATCAAGATTTTTGGAAATTTTTTCAAGAACAAAAATTTAAGATTTAGAGATCGAGTTGTTATCGGAATTTGGTAAATTTGCTATGGTTGCACTTGTGATGGAATGGACGTTCATATTTTGTAAATTTTGTCGGGATTCCGAGACATGGGCGCCATGGGCGATTGTTTAGTGCAATTTTGGATTTTATTGGAAAATTTATATTTTCAGATGGAATTCATTTCCTATAATTTGTATTGACTGAATCGAATGAATTTGGATAGATTTGAGCTGTCTGGAGGTCAATTCAAGCAACAAGGCTATTTTAGAATATCGGCATAACTTCAAAAAAAGGTAAGTATCTTGCCTAACCTTGAGTGGGGGAAATACCCCTTAGGCATTGAGTTGTATGTGCCATTTGTGTAATGTGAAAGCCGTGTACACGAGGTGACGAGTACGTACTTGGTTTATATGTGCAAATATTATTGGTTGAAATTCGTAGACGCCCTTATGTATTAAATTGGAAATTTTTTGGAATTTAATAAATCCTTGAATGGTCATGCCCATTCCTTGTTTGTCGAATTTGTATTTTTATATGATAATTTAATCTTATTCACACTTGGATTTTTATGTGAATTCCATGTGTTTGTTGATTTGATATTTTTCTTGGAATCCTTATATGCAAATAATTATTGAATAAGTTTAAAATAAGGCATTAATTTATATTTATTAAAATTTAGATTAAAGAAGGCGTTGTCCTATGATGGGTTATTTTTCCATCTCTGTTATTGTTTTGAGGTTTTATATACGTTGTGCAGATCCTTGGGCTATTTGTTGAGAAATATATTAATTTTTCTATATTCTTGGAATTGGTTGTGGTCATTGGACAAATTGCGATATGAATTGTTGTATTGTGTTGTCGTTTAAACACTCTCCATGATGTTATTTATGCTTCATACCTTGCTTGTTAATGATATACATGTGCTTGGTAAGGAAGAGTGTAAATCATGAAGGATAATGCCGTACCA